ACGTATTTTTCATAGTCTTATATTTCAACAGTTTTACGACAAACTGTGACTTTTTTGACATGGAAATGATTTTTTAAGATTGACAAACATCATATGTGTAATTCATGGCACAATTCAAACGGGATCGAAAGATAAGTTTTCTCTCCCCATTGACTTCAATGCATAATTTTTCCGAAATAAGGTCCCATTACCCGGAAGTAGGTGGGCGTGACTTCGCCACTCTATATCAAATCTATCATAATAACAAACTATTACCATGCTGTCATGAACGTGCGGTGCTGTTACGTGTACGCAAATTGACGTGCTTGATGTGAACGAGCATTTTGGGGGTTATGGTTAAAGTTGCCACAAAAGCAGCGAAGAAGACTTCCCGCGCATGGTTGCCATGGTTACCCTTCTGTTTATTCTCCGCTGTGGCTTTTTTTCTCCCTCCCCGAGGCAAGCGTTTGCTCCTGCTGCTGTAATTCAATGCAATCCCTCCCTGTCGAGGCAAGCACTGTAATTCTCTCTGGTTAGTCCACCAGCAGATGACAAACACCCACCTCTCCGCCTCTTCCAAGGAACGAGGGGACCGTGCGGCAGAGTTTCAGTTAGGTTTTCTTTCGCCGGTCAAGATGTCCGTTAAAGTTGAAATCTTCCGGACAAAATTAGAAAAGTGCCGGTCAAAGGTCTTCTTTGTTATTTATTGAGCTTTAAAACAAATGAATAATGAATCTATATAATAATATAATAAAACACGGAGGACGGAGATCTATTTTTCTCCCCCTCTTCTGACTTGATCAGAGCACGCTCCCCTCTCCTGCAGGGGGGCGTGGTCAGCTGCAGCTCACAGAATCAGCCCCCTGCAAAAACAGGGCTGGAGAACAGCAAATAGAGCGAAATGAGGCATGGCTAAAATGCATGATCTGTTTGGTATTTTGAAAACAGAAACGTATAAATATACCTTATATAGGTATGGCCCTACAATATATAATTTAAATATAACATGATAGGTGTCCTTTCAGTACATTTCAAGTATCTCAAAATTGTACTTGAATAAATGTACTCAGTTACTTCCCACCTCCGTAGTTCAGCGTCATTAGATGTAGTTTAATTGAACAAAGGTGTCTTTTTTTGTAAAAAATCCCAGATGCATATATAAATTGTACTGATGTAGTACTTTAGTAAGTGTACAGTTACGTATAACAACTTGCTGGGATCCTTGGGTAACTAATAAAGACGATGCTGGGGGAATAGATCCAGATGAGGAGCAGACCCCCCTGAAGGAGTGTAGAGCAGAAACATGTAACCAAGCCACTGCTGACCTCTGCCAAGTCTTCAACATGTATCTTAAATGTATACGGCGCCCTCTGCTGACGGTCTCCCTTAAGTACAATTGACCAAATATGTGTCTTTTTTTTATTGAAAATGAACTATAGTAAATAAATAAAGCCCTGGAAGAAAACAACCCTTCATGCTTCAAAATTAATAATAAAAAGCAAATATTTAATTTTCGGTTTACAGTATATTTTTATTATTTATTAATAATATTAGCATTTAAATAATATTTGCATTTAAATAAATTATTCACAAAACATACATAACAAAATAAACACATCTAGACATACATTAACTACATAACAGTTGACAAATCCAAAATGAAATAATAATAGTATTAATAATACAAATAAAAGAATGGATACAGTATTAATACTCAATATACATTAATTGTCAATTATTACCTCATGTTCCTTATAAATCTTCGTTATAGTGTTCTATACTTTACCCATTTTTCCCATCTTTCCTCAAAGATGTACATTTGGTTTCTAATTCTCATAGTTGTTTTCTCCATTCCACAGATTTCATTTACTAGGTTATTTAATTGTGAGTTTATTAAGTTATTATCTTTTAGCCAATTCCTTGTAATTTGTTTAATGATTGCTATTCTTATCACAAGAAATAGGTAGGAATCTTTATTTTTAGGGTTTAGGGTTAATGTGTTCTTGTTGGGAGAAATGCCAAAGACACTGGACATTTCTCTTAGTTGTATTATTTATTCAAATTGTTGCTAGGCAGCAGCAGTTGGAGACCCGCCCAGCCAGTGATGTCAGCACAGTGTGAGATATTTGCTTAAATTGTGAAAAGAAAACACCTGTCAGACGTCAGTGGTTGGGGCGTGTGGAAAATGTTCACCTGCAGAGAGTGCCTCAAGCTTTCTGGCTCGAGTTCAGTTTCTATGTTGGTTCCCAGTCAGAGGGATGGTTGTAGTTTGGAAAACAAAACAAGTACTCTACACTACCTGCACATTATTACAGTGTGATACTGTTAGTGTTTATTGTAGCATTACCCCTGCATCATTGTTCATGCCTCAGTCCTTAAAGGCCTTTATTCCCCGGTTATATTACACATAATAAAATGTTGGAAAATGAATCAACACAGAGATTTTAGTTTGGCTCAGACGAAAACATTTATTTAGAATATGATCTATTTGAAGATCACAGATAAATCTGCGTAATGTTAGTTTATTGTAAAACATGTGACAAAAGTCACCTTGTAAAACAGAATTTTTAAAATAGTACCTTAAATAACTACGCTATTTACATTTGAAGCACTACTTCATTTCAAAATTGGTAACCTATGTAAAAATATAATATATATCACAGAGTTCAGCTCCTTCAAAAATGTAGTTGATGTCGTAAAAAAATAAAAAGACTTCAAAGACTATGAGAGGTTTTCTACCAAGAGTTAGACATGCTGATATTGCACATGCTCAAGACCCTCTGTTCACTTCATCTACCGGTATACTGAATCAAATACTCTGGATATATCTGATTTGGATCAAATATTACAAAGATCTTGGGATGATTGACATCATCCACACAGCTGTAGTGAGTGTTTTCAGAACTTCCATCATCAGGTTTCCGATAAATAGTATGTCCAACCGTTGATTTTCCGATTATCACACGAGCCAAAAATATCACTTTAGTGTATTCACCTTGAACACCTCGTGTTTCCCCGCCATACAGCGGCAATGGATCCCTGCTGTCACTGCTGTATCTGTCTGCAAATGTTGCATGTTTTGCAAAATATATCCCTTAATAAAAAGACAAAGGAACTGAGATCAGACTCTGCAGTTATTTACATTCTGTCTGTGTATATATGTACTGTATATATTGTTGCACAGGCATTAGCTTACCTTTGCCATATACGCTGGCATGTTTTCCAGTCAATCGTAAATCAAAGTTATACTTGCAAATGCTGTCAACATTTGTCATTTCTGTACCATGAAAGAGTCTCTTCTCCTGGATCTCTTTGACATCCTGGATTCGCATTATCTGCTTCTTTTTCCTTTGACACAAATAAAGGGAAGAAGCATTTTGATGAGAAGAAAGTGGAATTATGAAGTGAATGAGATAGACAAAGTCAAAAGACTTCCTTACCGACAGAATATCTCCCACAGGTCCAGATTCTGGATCCTGCTGATTGACACGATGTCTGCATCCAACAACCCCTCTGTCTTCACATAGTCTGCCACCGTGAGATACTCAGGGCTGAGTTCACTCAGAGGCATTAACTGTCAAATACATAGGAAACACATCTGATAAAGGCTTCAGTTGAAACATAAGTATTTACTGTGGTGTAAAATAACTAAGTAAATGTACTAAAGTGCTGTACTTAAGTACAATTTTAAGGGAATTGTACTCTACTTTTTGGGCTATTTTGAACTTCTACTCCACTACAATTCAGAGGTAAATGGTGTACTTTCACTCCATTACATTTATTTGATACATTTAGTTACTTTACAGATTTGGCTTAATATAATCAAGTCTTAAATCAGACTTTAGTTACACCTGGAGTAAATTCACAAGCTACCCTGCAGTATACAAAGTCATTAAAACTAGCTGCACCTTTATTATAATTATAATCCAAACAAATGATGACATAATACACATTGTGTGTATCTGCATAATGAGTACTTTTACTTTTTGGCACTGTAAGTACATTTTGATGCAACACTTTTGTACTTTTACTTGAATAAAATGTTGAATGTTTACTTGTCACAGAGTATTCCTACACTCTGGTACTTGTACTTTCACTTAAGTACAAGATCTTGTACGAGTACTTTTCCCACCTTGTAAATACATTAATTAGTGTATATTTCGGTTTCCAGTCATTTGTCACCTGATATGGACATGTTGGATCCACCTTTTCCCAGAAGACAGGAGAAGCACTGAAGCAGGCGCATCTGTACGATAAAAGTGCTGAGTTTCACTTTCACTTTCCAGGAAACAATACTTACGTATAACTCAGAAATCCTTTGTTATATTCATGTGTTTCAAACCTCACTTTACCCTCTCTCAAGGTTGAAGGCCCGTTGGATTCTTCTTTGCCTTCCTGTGATGAGGTCAGTCTGTAACATTGCTGTATAAAACACACAAGTTATGTTATTCAAGTTCTGTATGAGGAGGATTTAATGTGAACACAAACATGTAGTCAGTTACCTGAGAAGTCCATCTTGCTCTCACAGTTACCGGATGATTTATTCAACACTGCTTTAGAGTTTCTTTTGTAATATTTTTCAATATCCTCACTCCTCAGGGGGTTATCAGGGTCGTCCTGCAGGATTGACAGTAGGTAACAAAAGCTAAAATCCTGCTTCAGATACATTACTGTTTCTATGATATGATAATTTGGATAATAATCTTAAGAAATGTTAACAATTTACCTCAAATCTGTGCCACCTTCCACAGTCTGCCAGATAATACCAACACCATGGGAAGTCTGAAGTGTCCATGTATTCCACTTCTTTATTGCTACACATTGTCCTGACAGAAATGTGATAAATAAGCGAAATAAATATGTTTAAATACGGTCCTTTCTCTTTCTGCTGCACAGATAGCTATTAAAGTTGGTGTTTGTCATGTATGAATGACATGTCAGTCAAAGCCACACCTCTGAGGGAGGCGGGCCTCCTCACTTTAAAATGGGAGGCTAACATTTATACCAGCAGAAAGAGAAGACATATTTGAAAAACTTTATTGGGTGTAACATGTGCAAATTACAGACACGCATATAGCTTTACTACAAACCCCTACACTCACAGCTGTGTTATGACTGAAGACAACAGGTGGTTCCCTCATTTACAACAGGAAATGCAAAGATCCGTTTTTGTACTGTTACGCCATCTTGTGGCAAATATATGTGAAACTATGAATCCTTATGTAGTCCTCGCTCAAACACACACTCAATCATTCAATGAATTCAACAGATAAACACAGCAAAGCCATAATACATTGTGAGTTTGTTTTCATTACAGTACTATACATGTGCTGGCTACATTCATTTTCCTTTTTAAAGATACACCAGGTGCAAAGATAACCTGCTTATTCCCCACAGAAGAGTGTGAGCAGGCGCTAACCTCACACTTGGTTTAAAGTCAAATGTGATGCTAGATATTACGTTTTGGTTGGGAATGGTTGCAAAGGCATACAAAATCCAATGTTTCAAAGAAGGACACACAGAAACATATTGCTAAAGGACCACGAGTCAACACGACATCACAACTTTATGTCATTGTGACACAAATACAAAACCTTTCATGGAAAGGGGGGAAAGTGCAGTGATGCATGATTTAAAAACAAAATGCAGAGGTAGAAGCGTTTTTTTTTTAAACAAGAACAAAAAGGAAATCCATGCCTACATAAAACATCACAGATGATGAGACTGACGGGATGAATGAGTGAGCAGGAATGGTTTTTGGTTTGGTCATTTGGAATGATGTCTAAATGAACATAATTAAGCTCAAGCGTGGCACTGTGTATGTGAAGGAGAGGCTGTGGCTGATGGCAGAACATCACGTGTGACCTAAAGGCTGCAACTGTCCCTCCTATTTTAAACAACTGGGCACGGAGATTGGACAAGTGAGCACAGATTTTTGCATTTGATAAAAAATTGCCACATTGACCGACTTCTTTTTTCTTTCGACGTTGCAGAAACACTCTTAGAATGTGTTGTACAAACTCCACACAAAGTCTCTATTGTCTTTCTGATTTCCCCAAAGGCACTTTATGCTCCAGTTAGGCACCGGATCTGACTGAAGGAAAAAACAAATGTCTCTTAAGCCGCTTCTTTTTTCCAATATTCATCCCGTCATGTGATAGTGTCTTTATTTTTTCTTTGTTCGAGAACCAGCCTCTATAAAAAACCAAAAAGTCTTATTTTTAAGCTTCAGTAGAACTCGATCAGATACTCCGGGTAAATCTGATTGCTGTCGAAAATGACAAAGATCTTTGGATTGGCCATATCGTCCACACAACTGTCGAAGAAGTTGGTGAAGCTGGCATCCTTGGAGGGGGGTCTACAGTACATAGGGTGACCCACTGTGTGTTCTCCAACCAGCACTCTGGCCAGGAACATGGTCTTGTAAGGGGGCTCCGTAGCAAATATTGGGGGGGCGAGTCCGTGTCGCTGCAGGACGTTGTTGTGCTTCCCTGTGGTGTGACAAAACTTACTGGAGTATTTGGCGTCCCGGGCAAAGTAGCTCCCTACAGGAAGAAAAATTGTAAAAAAAAGTTTAAATCATACAAAGAAGTGTGATAAATAGTTCCATAATGTCACATCACAACACAGAAGGATGTACCTTTGCCATAGACATCGCCATGGCTTCCTGTCAGCCGCCAGTCAAAGTTAAATGTACATATAGCTTGTATGTTGCTGTGCCCTGTGCCGTGAAACAGCATTCGCTCCTCAATATCCAATGTGCGCTTGACTTTTCGCAACTGTGTTTTCTTCCTTAGGGGACCAATGAATGACAACAGAACACAGAGTACTGATCATCACTTTGGAACTCAGTGCTCTTTCAGACGTATCAAAATCAAAGTAGTTTTATTCTCTTGATTTACTTTAGCTTTGTCTGTAGTAGGAGCTGGGGAAAGTACTCAAGAAAAGACACAGCTTACATAAACTAGCATTTGAGACATTCACCACAATAACACAGGTGTCTACCTGCAGAAGAATTCCCATAAGTCCAAGTTCTGAATCCTCTGGATGGATTTGATCGGATGATCCATAGTCCTTTCATATAATCTGGCAACTTCTTTAAATTCATAGGTGTCTCTTCCGAGCTGGATGAGCTGTAAAAACGCAACACAATGAGTAAAAGTACTAGAGCTATGCTGTAAAAGCTTGGCTGGAAAGAAAGAAAAAACAAACACAAATATTTGTTTTCTTAGGAAAGAAGATTGATCTGGGGTAAAATGCTGGGTGGAAACGCAGTGTGTGTAACAGATGTTTAGTGAGTAACAGTGTGTTATTTGACTCACCTGAAAAGGTTCATCTGTATTGATTCTCTCCCAATGACACGGTACAGGCAAGGCCAGATTATCACAGATAAACCTGAAAAGTAGAGGGAGAAGAGGGCTCAGTAATTAAATTGTTTCAGCAGTATAAGTGTGTTTGCATAGTATGAAAGACCTCCATCTAAAATATGTCTGCGCCTGAGGCATAAATCCTTCCTCCTCGTGTTTTTGGAGAGACCAAAGTTCGGGGTCAGCTGCAGGCCCTCTCCCTGTGGAGCTGGTAGGAATTCAGGTTTTACATCCAGGATTCCTGAGGCTGACACAGACTAAACCCTGACCTTTCAGATAAAGCATGGTCGTCTGAGTGCAAACCTCCTCCTGCCTGGCCTAACAGATGAAGGGTGAAATACAGACAAAACAGTTCGCTTTAACTGCTAAATCTTACCGGAAGCCAGTTGTAGAGTGGAGGGATCGTTTGATTGGCCGCTGCTTCCCTGTCGTTACATTGATCTGTCGCATTGCTGGTGAGGAGTTCATCAGAGATAAGAGACACAGAAAGTAACATGCATGCATTACTTCTAAAAAAGGATTAATCAGGAGACAAAGAGCGGTACCAGAACTCTTGACTCCTCTCCTTCACTTGCTGTGTAACTTATCACTTACCTGAGAAGTCCAGTCTGTAGGTGTACTTGGCTGTGTAGAACTCCATCACACCTCGCTGGTTTCGGCTGTAGCACTGCTCAATCTGAACACTGGTCACAGAGCAGGCCGCACTGGGATCAATCTGACAGGGGAAATTGAGAAATGTATAAAAAAATTAGTTTATTAAATATAAAATATTGATTGAGTGATTGGTCCATTGAAAGAAAGTTCTGTGGAATCTGTTTGTATAAAAAAAAAAGTATTTTCTCTAGAAAAAAAGGTAAACATATATTACTTACAGCTTCTTTGTTATGAGCAATTCCTGCTAATGTGATAGTGAATTAAATAAAGTCAGGTTTTGGCCAGACAAAACAATGAATTTGAAGATGTAACATTAGTGTTAAGAAAGCTTTTCTAACCACCACAATATGCAGATTCATTGATATTATGTAATGAATATGTACCTGCAGTGTGTACTGTTAGGTAATAACCAAGAGCCCATGGTGACATCATCTATTTTGTTTAATGTCTGATTCAACAGCTTAAAACCAAATTAATATTACATTTAGCACAAATAATGGAAAGGGAAAGCAGTGAATTCTCACATTTAAATCATCAAATGTTTGCCAATTTGACTTAAAGTAATTATACATATATCATGGACGTATTGCCTATTGACTAATAATTTCGGCTTCAGTAATATTGAACTGACATGCAGAAATAATGGCTTAATAGAAATAAAAAATGCAATGTGATTTGCAGGAAAAGCCTCTAATCATTTACCACTGACTGACAGATCTTTGCCTGTCATTTGCAGACAATAGGAGACCCAGGTGTCATTGAGGCAGGGGCAATAGCCGGGGAATACATTATAGGGAGTGAGAAAGTGTAAGGTCATGTCCTGTGAACTACCTCGAACATATGCCACACTCCACACTCAGCCAGGTAGAACCAGCACCAGTTCGGTTCCGAGGTGTCCATCTCCTCCATGTCAGTGGACTCCTCCTCCGCCGCCCTGATAGCTAACATAGCTAAATCTGAAATGAATAAGTGAAGAGACGCGAACACCTCAGGCAAATAGCAACCACAACAGAGGAAGACATGGGGGCAGCAAGGTGTATATTCGTGTAACAAAGCTTAGGTCAATCATATGTGTTTAATGCATGGTCGTGAGGGCATTTAATCCTTTAAATAAATTCAAAAAAATACAGTACATTGTCATAGCGAGCTAGCTATCATTAGCAACTGCCGCACCCGACTTTTCTTAGCTCTTCATGGGTATCTTACCGGTTTTCAGCCTGTCTCTAACCTTGTCCCTTTCCTTATTGGGATATAAAACCTTCATGCATTATGAATCACAAAAAATGACAGACTCCGAATGCGAACGGGTGACTGTCGCTACATAACATTTTCGTCTTCGTTCTTATGCGTTGTTTACTTTTATTTCCTGGTTCGTCACGCACAACACGTCAGTGCATCAATGTGATGTAACTCCTCCCCCTTTACACTAGTACAGAGTAGCCCTGAGTTTGGCCTGTCAGGTAAAAGGTCAAGACATTGCATGTAAAATACTGTGTTTTCCAAGTACAGTTGACAAATAAACACGTACCCCAATGAGATTGCGGGGTAATGGGTGGGGGGGGGGGGGTGGGACAAGGAAATAAAAAACAAAAATAAATAAAGGATGAATATTAAATAGTATTGCAAAGAAAAGGGGGGAGGGGGTGCTCTGCTGAGAATTAAGTATTGGGTTCTTCATCAATAGTAAGGGTGTCAATGTGGTCCAGAAAAGGCTGCCAGGTATTATGGAACGTCGTCAGGGAGAACCTAATCCTCTCAAGCCTGACGCAATACAGGATTTCATGAATCCATCTATTATGGGTGGGAGGGGAGGAATTCCGAAAAGGGCAGTGAGGGGGCCAGGGTCCACTGTCTCACCTAAGACCTCCCTAAGTGAATCAAATATTGCAGACCAGAACTCTGATAGTTTAGGGCACGACCAAAACATGTGCATTGTTACGCCCAGGTCTAGGGGAACCTAGGCGCAGCACAAAATGTGCACTCTCCCCACTTTTCCCACTCCCAAGAACATGGACACCGAGACAGAGAATGCCGTTTGGTACATTTAATTACCAACGTTTTTTACAAAGAAGCGCAACAACTCACAAAACAAACAAATCTCTGAACACAAAAATATTGCCTAACCAATAAGAAAAATAAACGTACAGGCTTCTTACCTACTCTGACGTATAAACAGGAGAAAACGAGAATTAACCAAAAGAAAAGGGTTTCACACTTTCGCATAAATTAAAGCGTGTCCAACAAGGACAGGTTAAAGTACAGTAGTTTATTTTCTGAGGTTTTCAAGACAAGCAAGAGGACCGGTATACGGTATAAGTAGGACCACAGCACAACAGGACAGATAGAAGTCGAGTCAGAGAGAGGGCAGAGGAACCGCACGGCTGCAGCTTAATATGCTCCCCTCTTCTTCAGGTGGACCAATCAGCAGGTTAAAGGTAGCTAATCAGCTAACGGGCACCACCTGCTTGCTCACTCACACACACACTGGCCGTTTCTCAATCGCGAGGATATTGGCTTCCAAGCCAATATTTCAAGGATGCTACGTCATCGAGTGCCGCCAACGGACTGTTCCAATCTCCAGCATACTTGGAATTCCACCGAGGCCGCGTCCTTGGTTTGGGGGAAATTTCGAGGCTGCACATGGGTAGACTTCGCGTCCTTAAAATCCCCACAATGCTTTGCGCATGGACCAATTTCCCCAAATCTGTGGCGGAAGATGTAAGGCGGGGCCTCTCATATGACGCACACCTGCACACTTGCTAGCCTGTTCCACTCTTCGTTTTCCGAATAGCAGGAAGTATTCTTGCCTTGCTTCTGAAGCAAGATGCTCGGCTCGGCTGTGCTACCAAGCCAGCATCCTCGCGATTGAGAAACGGCCACTCAGACACAGGAGGAGGGAAAAATATCTACACACAAATTACATAACGACCCAGGGTCGTAACATGCATGTAGTCAGCCGGAGATTGTTTACATCTATTACATGTGTCAGACCTGTCAGGGTATATCCTGGCCAGTTTAGCGTTAGTGTAATGTACTCTGTGCAGAATCTTGCACTGCAGTAAGCTATGCCTTGCACATATAGAAGAGGTGTGTACCAGGTCTAATATACGTCCCCACTGATCATCTGACATGTTAATCCCAAGGTCCTGATCCCATACAACTCTAAGGGAATTTAAGCAAGTAGGATTTATCTTAAAAATGTTATTATATATAATGGAGGTGAGCTTCCTTGAATCGGTCTTAAGTGATAGGAAAGAATCAATTATCGAATCAGGAGGGCGGCCTGGAAATTGGGGGTATTTCTTTTCCACAAAGTGCCTGATCTGAAAGAATCTCTCGGAAGTGAGAACTTGGAAGGTCAAATTTGTTGGCTAAATCTGCAAACGAAGAGAAAACACCACCAACATAAAGGTCATTAATAGACCGCAGGCCTTTGTCTGACCAAGTCCGGAAGACAAGATCCGAGCGCTTCGGGAGGAAAAGGTGATTGCGATAGACCGGGGCTAGACCTGACGACGCTTGTAAGCAGGGTCGGACTGGCCATCGGGACGAATCCTGAAGTGGGCACCGAGGTGGGCCGGTCGAGAGTCCCGGGCTGATTCGTAGTCCCAGTCCGCCGCTGCTTGTAAGCCAAACTGCTTCCTAAACTGACCCCAAATCTTTAAAGTGTTAGTTACAATCGGATTGCGAGCAACTTGTTTAATTGGAAAGGGCAATTGAGAACATACCACCGACCAAAGTGGGAGACCCGAAGAGGAAGCCTCGATCTGGGCCCATCGAGGGTGTTCGCCCTGTGCCAAATTAGTGTTCCAAAAAAGAAGCTTAATATTACATGCCCAATAATATTGGCGGAGATTAGGCAGCGCCAGGCCACCTTCAGACTTGGAGAGTTGAATAACTACTCTTCTGATACGAGCCCTCTTGTTGCACCATAAAAAAGAATTAATCTGCTGGTCAAGTGCTGAGAAAAAGGATTTATTTATAAATATTGGAATGTGTTGGAAGGAATATAAGAACCGAGGTAGCACCACAATTTTTATCAAATGAATGCGTCCCATTAAGGAGAAAGGCAAGGAGGACCATCTAGCTAAGTCTGCTTTAAAGCGCTCTACTAATGGACTAAGGTTCTTGGCAAAAAGCTCTGTAAACGATTTAGTAATATGGATACCCAGGTATTTGAATCCCTCTGAGACCTTCTTAAAAGGAAAGAGAGCTTGGGGAAGTTTTTCAGCGAGGGTGTTAACCTGTTCCACTCTGAGCCTGTTTTTCAGGTCTCAGGCTCGAAAATGACATTCCCAGAACAAATGACCATATCTTCCCTTCTAAAAGGGTTAAATTAATAATCTTTTCTCAAAGTAATGATAAACCTGTGAGTTGGATGTAGAAGTGTCAGAATCAATATAAATGTTTTTTATTTTAAAGAAAATTCAGATTTTACATAGTAAAAAACTGTAAATTATAGTGTCCGTCCAAAAATTATTTTTTACAGATAGTGAAAACTACCCTTGGATGATGGGTTAGTAGACTAAAAGCTTTAGGAATCCAAAGTACAACATATAATAAGTACCCTGTATCAAGATTGATGCAAAACAAGTGAAATTTGACCTTTTTAGAGAGATTTAGCCAAAAACTGGGCCATCTGGGGTCATTTGGGTGGATTTGACCTATCTCTGGCCCCCCTTGCTCGATCTGGTTGGTTGACATACCCTTGTGACCGTTAGAGCCAATAGAATCGAAGGAGGAGACTCACATAGACACACATTATAAAGAAAAAATGTTGCTGCTTCGCGTGTGGAAAGCATAGACTGTATATATAAATGGACGTAGGGTCCGTGACGTCACCCATAGGATTCTGCAGAGTTGCCGAGAAGCCCTTAGTAGGCGGAGTCGGCCACTAACGGCTCGACAGTGACGTCTGAGTCTAACTCCCGCCTGCTACATCCTGCTCCAAATAAGGGCAAAGAGGCGGAGCCGAGGCGGGGACCTTCTGCCTCCAGCTGGGAAGTAACAGAGCTAGCTCAAGCTAAGAAGCTAAGCTAACATGCTTCCCCATCAGCACACTGCCGTCACATTTTACGTTTCTAAGGTAAGCGGACATGAAACTATTCAGCAAAACTATAAATAATAATCTAAGTTATTGAGTTTTTAGCATAATACTTCAGAATCTTAAAATCCCTTAACGTTTGTATGCAATGTGCTAAATGCAACACTGGAATCAAGCAAATATTAATATGTTTGCATGACATTAGTTATTTATATTTTGCTATCACTTAATTATACGTTTAATACATTTAAGTTAAGCTAAGGTGCATGTGATGGTAGCTAGTTAGTGCTCTTACCTGTGAGGCCTCCTCCAAACAGCATTATAACCAGACTGTATCATTACAACTATAAGTACCAGTTCTAGATCCTTGACTTTAGACAAACAATTCAAAAGACAAAATGTATTTAAAGACCAATCTTTATTTGAAGGTGCCTCTTAACCTGGGATATTAGTTATACAGTAATAGCAGTGGCGGCCGGTGGTCTTTTTTTTTGGTGGGGCTCTTGACGTACCGTAAGTGACCTACCCGGGGGGTCCGGGGGGTTTCCCCCCGGAATTTTTTTTCGAGAAATGACCCCTTAAATGATGACTTCTGGTGATGTTAGAGGGGGGGGGAAAGGAGAAATCGAGGCTTAAAAATATGAGAAGACTGATCAATACCTCCATAATCTTCAGTGTGGAAAATATTATTTATCAACCTGAACATCTACTACTTTACCAGGAATTTGTGTTCTCAGAACTGGTCTGTTTTTTTCTTTCTTAAAACTGTTCATGTTTTATGAACCAACACCTTCACCAAGTAGCTTTACAGTGAACTGCATGTGAGATATAAAATTAATAGCATCTTTTCAGTAGCATTAATTATAAATATTTAAGTGGTTCAATACAAGTCACTACAGCATTTCAAACTGAACTGTGAATAAATGCAATTTAAAAAAAATAACCACAGCACAAAATGTCATAAATTGTGTTTTTTTCTTTGTTTCTCTGAGGATTATTTACAAACAGGCTTATTTACATATAGCAATAACTCAGAAATGAAAAAGCTACATCGTCTAACACGAACAACCAGTTAGCATAATGATAATATATGTGTTATGTACAATGTAACTGGCAAGGCTAGAGCAAGAAAGAACATAAAGTTTGCAAAAGGTTTAAATAACTTCAAGTATCTGTCTTCAGATTACGTGGAGGTTTTAGTCCGATGGGAAGCAGATTTTAAGCGACACCGAAGATAAACCAAAAATGTGGTGGAGCTGCAAACCGTGTAGTGTTGCTGGGACAGAACAGGAGCTATAACCGTTGGAAAATACATCACAG